AGCTGCACAAAGGAATCAAGTTGCATGGAGCACAGAGGAATCAAGCTGCATGGATGACCATCAACCTTGCTGCACAACATCAACACTTAGGACGACACATCTCACCGGCCAAGCTGCACAGAGGAATTAAGCTTGCTGCACAACATTAACACTTAGGACGACACATCTAACCGGCCAAGCTGCACAGAGGGACCATCGACCTTATTGCACAACATCAACACTTAGGATGACAAATCTTGCCGGCCAAGCTGCACGGAGGGACCATCAATTTTCAACGTAAACTCAAGATAGCGCATCGCAAACACCAAGCCGCACGTAAGAACCATCAACCTTGCCGCTCAACGTCACCTCAGGATAGCGCATCGCAAAGGCCAACTCAACTTTCAGAACTGTGCATTTGAAGTCCAAGTCACGAGTAATCATCACCGACGATCAAACCAAGTGTAGGGACAACATGTACAAGCAAGCCATAACCACTATCATGATTTTCCATCACATACATTGCCGAGAAAAGACGATATCAATCAACATGACGTGGACAAAAAGCTCTTATAAAAGATAGAAAGATTTCTTCAAGCAACTTGAAACCACACCAACTCATTTGCTTAAGGCGACATAGATTCACGTGACATGGGCATCATCAATGGACAAAGGCTATGAACCGTATCAACACCACACAACAATTCATGGTTCAACAATATTTTTCAGCATGCAAACACACATAATGGAGTAATTCATCACCGCATAGCATTTTGCCGGGATAGACGACCAACATGATATAAATGAGTTAGATCATGGAGATATGCCATACGCATTTCAAATACATGAAGTTAACCTATTAAAGATCATAGATAAACTTTCTACCATCAACAAGCTTGTGGAGTAGAGTGAGTTTACACCATACCGACCGAAGATCTAAAGACATGAATGAAGAAATCATTGAGAATCCGAACCAACTATCTGAGGGACCAACTCCAAGACATAATGTCATTCAAAGCACATTTTCCTTCAAGGGAACGACGTGCACTGTTTATACTCATGCGCACCAGGAGTAACATGCAGTTTAGTCTCGTGGTCATGGAGAATTTTAATTTGAGGACTTTAGATAGTTTATACTCATATCAATGAGTATATTAAATAGTTTAGACTCGTATTTAGGGGTTCTTTTTTCCTTGTAAACAGATTATGCTCATGTTAAGGAGCTTTCATTTGATTTAATTTATAAATAGTTTATACTCATGTTAAGGAGCCTTCATATTTGACATGTGGACCTTTTATTCTCGTGTCAAGGAGATCTTAATTTGACTTGTAGATAATTTATACTCGTATCAAGGAGTTTTATAAAAGAGTTTAGACTCGTATTTAGGAGTTCTTATTTTTTCTTCTAAACAAAATAATTTTCTTCAAAAAACATGACTGAACT